GAGAGAGAGAGAGAGAGAGAGAGAGAGAGAGAGAGAGAGAGAGAGAGAAAGTGCGTATATGTATGTCTATATGTGCGCGCGTGTGTGTGTATGCGTAGGTTTGTACATACTTGTAAATACGTCCTAGAATTTTTAAGAATGAAATATCAGCAGTTTTTTGTGTACATTTCTTTGTACTTCTTTCAACACAGCGCCATGTATAAATATATAGCGTAGGTAGATGAAATAGGTAGGCAGAAATAGTAGAGTCAAGAAGATCGTACAAGAGCCTAGCTTCGTGAGGGCAGGGCTGTGTTTTACGATTTGGAATATTTACCAGTATGCCACCGAATGCGATTGTGATTGTCCGCGCTCAAAACCCGAGTATCTCTATTAGCTCGAAGAGCCAGCGCGAAGTAACTAAACGAAGTAACGTCCTTTTTCCTCCAATCGCAGACATGCAGTCTTGTAGTTTCCTTTCCTTTCTTTTTTTAATCGTGTTCCAAATTTTTTAATTGCAGATATATTAAATTCGCACCATGTTCTCCAGTTCATTAGTCGTTTCCTTCGATAAGACGTTGTTTTGAATCACTACCTTTTAAAACTTTCTTAAAGCGATTTATCTTTGTCGAGAAGCGAATGTTTTCTTGCTTCCAGTCTATTTCGTATTGTACAAAATGGAACGACATTCTTTCAGCAATCGAAACAGCTCTTTTTGCCGACAGACAGTTCTGTGCCACATCGAGAACAACCCGAGCAATAGTAATAGTTTGTAGCCGCCGTGACTAATTTTCTTATAACGTATCAGCAAAGATGAACTTACGAGTTAAATCGGCAAGAAGGTGAGCAAGCACTTATCTTTCAAACAGTGATATATCGATTCATAAAGTGATACCGTATATATAGATGTGTGTATATAGTATATATACACAGTATATAAATATATACATATGTCTATATATACCTTGACATTAATGCGCGGCAATCACAAATAGGGAAACGCCGTATTTAAAAATTAACAAATACCCACCGAGCAGTATTACGGAGACGAGGATTACGAAAAACGCAGTCCGTCGTGCTCTTTTATCTTATTCCTTCGAGAGTTTCGTTTTTTGTATCTCTTTTTACATTAATCGAGAGAACGGATAACGAACGAACACGAACGTCGACGGCAATTTCGCCAGCGTTTCTTCCTAGCGCTTTTCTTAATCTTAATCTAAACTCTAAAGGAAAACAATTGCAGTTGTCATTGTTTTGATTTGTGGATTGCTTGCGTTCATAATGCAGCTCGTTACAGCTGTATAATAGCTATAAACTATGCCTCTTAGAGCACCGATACTGTCAAAGTAACTGTCACGCTGATTCTTCAATTGTCAGCCCTAGTTTCCTCCCTCCGGTAATTCAACGTCCATGATGTCCATGGTGAAATCTTTGTAAGATATTCTCTGTATCATAACGTAAACAATACATTACTCTCGGGAAGCCTAATGATGAGTTTCCTATTTATTCTACATATTTACACCTTTTGTCGCGTATCGTTTTCAAATCAAATTGCGCAAATGGTTAGTTACCGGTGGAAGAAAATTGAAATCAAACGACGTGCTTTTTTCCGACAGACTCGATTGGTCAATTGCAGTCGTTTCTTCGTCGAACGATGCAAGTAATTTGAGATACGTGTATGCTTCTTGAAGAGACAATGGGTCACCTGTAATATAAAAGAAATAAGATGAAGATGTATTTCGATGTGGTTACAAGCGAAGATTGAGTTGTTTACTAGAATGTTAAATTTGTTTCTTCAGATAACACATCTAAAACACAATTCGTTATTTTCACCGACATGTAACTAAACTAAAAAAATAAGCAAATTCTATACGAATTCATACAGAATAGAGATTAAAAAGGCCTATGAAGGACTAGAGGTCCTATAAGATGTAAGATTAGATATTATCAATCGATTAGCTTATACCCTCTAATGGATTAAAGTTGGACTTATATCACTTTTGGCAAAATCGATTATTAATAAGTAATGAATATACCGACAAGCTTCAGATCTTCAAATGAAGCTTCCGATATTCTACCAAGTAATATTTCTACAAATTGTTCTCGCGTTAGAGAAGGATCCTCTACACTAGCAGTGCGCTCTTCTACGAAAGCATGAAAAATCTTCTTTATATGATTCATGGTGAGTCTGAACGCTGGTCGATGATTCACGTAGAGTTGCACAAATTCTTCAAATGTGATCTTTTCGGTAAGTTTGCCGGTTTCAGCGTGATACCGGTAGCATACTTCTCTCATCATGTTCTTTATCTAGAAAATAGATTCTTCCTAGCGAACTAGCAGTCAATAAAAAATTGAATTTTATTCATTTTTTTATACTAATTAAAATTGAGATTCATGCAACACCTCATAACGCAAATATTACTTCTTCGTTACTGGGATAATATCCGACAGCTCGCATAAGGTTTGGAATATTCTCGACGACCACGGTGTCGGTAATGACTCTAGCAGCGGTTGTATTTTCTCCTTGATGCAAAATCTGGGCGTAATAAAACAGATCCTTCATCTCATTCATCAGCCATCCTTTTTTCCCACCTTCGATGAGACAATGGAAAGGTGAAATTCCCCGTCCGCCTGAGCGCGCCATTGTGTCAACAGAACTGGGAAAAAATACTTTTTTACTCGCAGTCTGACATAAAACCTCATGACTCGTCATCATAACTAAGTAAGACGATGATATCAGAAAAGCAAAAAATTTTACGTGATTTATTTCTGCTGAACGCGTCGAAATAAGTAATTTTTTTCCTTACCGGTAAAATTTTTAACTTATAAAAAATATGTATAATTTTTTGCAAATCATAAAATAATTATATAATTCCTCGCTTCCGATAATTTAATATAACTATAACGACATTCAACCGCTCTTAAGATATTCTCACCTCAGACGAATTTCCCACATTAAAACACACGGATCGTTGTAGCCTATCGTAAACATGATTTCCTTATTGTTGCTGATAGAGATGTCCATTATCTGCAAATAAAGGCGAGATATATTTAAATATATGTAATATCATTTTGTAAAAAAGAATGTTTCACAAATGTACAATGCCTAACTTTTTGCGGATGTCCCGTCATACCGTGAATCTTGTAAGGATTACCGTCAAAAGGTAGAAGTTGAAGACCAATTTCTCTATTGGTTGCGAACACCATGTAGCCTTTATTGTCCACTAGTTTGTCTGTTAGGATCTATCGATGTCACAGTGATTTCAATGCAATTATTAAGATAAAATACTAAATAAATAAACATCGGGTAGTTGCAATGCTTCCTATACATTAGTGTATAGACGTCCAGTCACGTTACCTGAAAATTTTGTACTGGTTCTCCTATTGTTGGCCCTAAGTAAGTACCGCGTATCATTTTAGTGACGTCGTTGAAAATCTTGTACTTGTACTGTAATTACGAATATGATATTATATTTTGTCTGTAGATCCCGAAGGAGTGAGCTGGAGTATTACCTCAGAATTTGAAATAATAAAGAAATTCTCGTTGCCGCACTCAGAGTACCACGCTAGACAAAGAGGAGTGGCGGTGTGTTCGATTCGCTTGATGTGCAAAATTTTAAGCCCTGGCTCTGGATATGGTCCACTGTAATAGAATTATACATATGTATATATTATACAAATTATAATTATTTTGAATGTTTGGACAAGATTGTTATAAATCACTTGGAATAATTTAATTAAATCACTTAAATTAAATACTTGAATAGATACAATTCCCACGAAAGCAATTTACCTTTGCTCGAGATCATATTCAACAAGCTCTTGATCCTCTCCCAAGGAGAAAAAACGCGGTATCTTAGAGTCAGATACATAGGCCGGACTAAAAAGTATGTCCCTGATGGGCAGATAATGCGAGTGATATTTGCCAATCAAGTTCCATGTGCTGTGGTCATTCAAGGAGTCAGTGTTTCTCTTGAATACCACTACTGTCAGCGCATTGTCCTGAAAGTTAAATTCTTAGATATTTGGAAGAAATATAGAACTTGAAAATTTTATGTTTTTTATAAGAGATACCTCATGGCACGTACACGTGAAAATATAATTTGTAAAAATAAGTCTCTTTACAAAACATTAAATAAATCTTTTTTCTCAAGAATTTGTCAACTTTTTTCTCAAGATTTGTCTGTAATTAGCACGAATAAGTTTGTCGTACTTTCCTAAGAAATTATGTGTATAAATGTCAAATAATTTACAAATTATATTTGAAAATAAGCGCTCAACGCGCGCAGATAACGCTTTCAGAAAAAATGAAAGATTTTTCCATAGTAATTCCTTTAATTTACAGTTGAATTTTCTTACTGTGTAAGCCATATATTCGGCACACTGCGTGAAGATAATTTTATTAATAGCTGCGACAGAGTGCTTGTATAGTGTTTCGCTCAACAGATCCAGAGTAATATGATGCAGAATCCAAAGAGCCCCGTTTTCCAAACCGCACGCCAACATATCGCCTGCAAAAAAATTTTTCTCGTCTGTAAAAGACATAATTCTTCTTTCTTAACTTAGTAGAAAAAGATATGAGATTCATCAATACGTACATTTTGGCGAGAACTTAAGAGCTGTGACGCCTTTCAGAGACTCGTGGGTTTGCGGGCAAGTAACATAAGCGATATTTTCGCTCATTATTTGCTTCTTGAGAATCGGTTGGAAGTCTAAAGTGCTCTTGGATGTTATCAGAACGAGTTCTTCATGATTGTACAAGTACACAGTGCCCTGTACGTCCCCCACAACGATGTAGTTACTGTAGTTGAGAAAATACTTTTGTATACTTTATAAAAATTGTGATAAAAATAGAGAATCGACAGAAATCCGTTTGAACATTGTATGTAAAACGTAATTCTTGACGAGAGAGGTAATTATCAAGTTACCGTTTTAAATTTTTTTACCTTTCTGGATGAGTATCCAAGCTGGTCGCGGCCACAGCCAATTGACGCAATACAGGATGACACTTTTGCTTCGGGATGTCTATCAACGCGATTACTCCCGTACAGGAACCTGAAACGAGAAGATGTTAATGATTTACATTTGTTATACAAATCATAAAATATTACAAAATAGATATCTTACAAGCAAAGAAAGTTCGGACGTTAAATGGTGAGCGTTGTAAAGTAGCGTCCGTCGATTTTGCAGATGCTGTAACTTGGAAATTGGATCGAAGATCGAAGCTTATCCATCTAATGGAATCGAGATCGCAATTTTCATACCAATATAAAAGTCTCAATTGATAATCATAGAAAGCAACACGGCCATTTGAGTTCCCTGTAACGAGCATGCTGCAATATTAACGCGACATTAATTGTAGTGACGCGTATGACATTTAAGGCAGTCATCAGATTATAAAAGACACCTGTCGTTCTCGATAATAACGGTGATATTGCATTTCTGTAAATTAACAGTCTTGATATGTTTCTTCTTTTTCTCACAATTAGAATCATTGATCTTGCGCTTTTCCTCGAGAGAGACGTTACCCCACACTAAGATACATCCTGAAACAATTATATTCATAACGTCAGACAAAAATTGTCGAGAATTAGTAATCGTATCTATAATTATTGAAAAATAAAAAGCACCGTTTGTAGTCGCTGTGAAAACTTGTTGCATTTTCGAAACATAGCAAGATCCATTAAAAATTCCGACACGTTGAAGTTTAGTCGTTTTGGGACAATCGTAGCTCAAAGCATCGCCGTCCTTGTTCATAAAATTCGAAAGAAATATAGGAATAATATCGTCGATACTGAAGTTATAATCTTCTTTTCAAAATTACACCGGAAAATATATTTCTTTCATACTAACTGAAAGATCTGATGAAAGTATTTAATTGCAAAATTTTACCAACCCAAATTAGGAACAATACGTGATAATCGGTCGTTAATGCAAATTGTTCCGGATATTCGTCATTGAAAATTACTTCCTTGACACGTTCAGATATTGTATCAGTCAACGAGATTGACGCTGAAAATTTTACGTTTGTTTTAACGATGATAAAGATATAAGTTATAAATTACACCACTGATACCGTATTTCGAATGTTTTAAGATAGAGAAGTGATTAACGTGAATGGACAAATCGAGAGAACGAACCGTTCGGTTTGTCCCTGCCGTAAGTCCACAACCAAAAATGCACGTTCTGGCACTTTCCATTGCTGACGGTGACTATGTATTTAGCGTTCGGACTGATACAAGCAGCTGTCATGCCTTCATTTCCATGCGGTTTGATTAAAGTACAAACAGGAACTCTATACATTTCAATGATTGCATTAAATATTCCAGATTGAAGTAACAGTTAAATTTTCAGCACAGCAATCGGTTACGTAATTGTCGCAAAACGTAATCTTCCAAAAAGTATTTGCCTTTTCTCCGTGTCCCAAACAAACACTGCGCAATCTTCCTCGAAATCAGCTGTCAGCAGCCACTTAGCGTCACGCGTAGTCGCCAATGTTTTCACGGCATTTTGCTAAATAACAAGGCAAAAACCTCTTTCGTCAATGCGGACAGAAAGCGGTGCGGAAATAGCACGTTTCGCCGCAAAATCAAACGTATACCGACGTGGCCTTGAAGCGGCGATACTGTTCTCGAGCTATAGTCGTATATCATGGTCACGTGTGAACAGGCATATGCTAATAACGTGCAATTATCCCAAGTTAAATTTATCACCGGTACTTCCACATTAATTCCGAAGGACCATCGTAATTTCTGAAGAGGCATAGTAATCATTAAAAATCGAGCACAATTCGTCGATACGCTGCACGCAATTTCGTTTTTTCACTCACGAACGGGCAAGGATCATGTTTTGCTGCTTTCAGACAACTTTCCCTCACATCTATGCTTATGGTATTTTCTTCGGTGTCCGCAGTAGATTCGTTGGGAATCGACGGAGAAGCGACGGCCGTGTACATCGCCATTTCTCGTCAAGCGTGACTGTAATATGAAATTTATGTGGTGAAACTGACGGAGTAAAATTTGAGCCTGCGTTCAGTTTTTGTTCTAGACTCATTAAGAGTTGTTACTTGAAACTCGTCTGAAATGAGAAAATTCAGATCTAAATTCAGAAATAGACGAGTTTTTCGATTTAAATCACGATTACAAATGTCATATATATCATGTAATTCAATTAAAAAACTTCACTCTAACTTTGAATAAAAATTGAAGTATATCATATGAGTTAAATTTCAAGTGATAACTATTTATATTATTCATCTATGTGACTTGAACATAGATGACAAAGATTTTCTTTCACGAGAATATGGAATATATATGAATAGACATGATTATAGGGATAAGTGGATACTTGTAAAGATGAAATCAAGGCGAATATTCGACACAGTTCCCACTCATTGATTTCATAATAAAACAGTCTAGGAGAATATATTCTTATTCATAGAGGAAATCGCTGCGACAGACACGTATCAATCGTGATCTCTTTCTCTTAATGTTTTATTACAGTATCCGTTCGGATTTAACAGTTTGTTACAGTACGAATTATCACACTGATGAGTAATAAATTATCACATATTGTATGTATAATGCAAGACAAAATCATGTGTTGTTTGTTGGAAAAATAATGCATATAAAAAGTTACTGTTAATGCGACGTTGCAGCGGGCTGTTCGTTCTCTTTGTAGATCCCTTCGCCGTACCGTACGGTAATACTAACGTTCTCGTACATAGCGGTGAAAAATTATATCGTCCAAAAAGAATTAAAAGTCGGTTGGTTTTCATTACAAGAATACGAGCTGCGTAATCTCCTAAATAATTGCGTAGTCCATATGCATTAGTCTAACTACAGCAGCTCTGCGGTGTCGGATCCAGACCTGAACGCTTGGTGATGAACAGGCGCGTAAACTCTTCCGCGCTGGTTGGATGGATTCCAACGGTAGACTTCAGTTTCGGGAATGTTAAGCCACACCTATGTGTGCGAAAGCATAACGAAATATTTAATATATGAGATACTACCATTTTACATATTATATTATATCATAAAAGTTATGATTTCAAGAAATTTGAATCTAAATTTTGGAGAAGTTATCGCATAACAATAAGACTGAGATACTTACTTAACCGCAGCTGAAAATCCTTGAATCACTTCGCCGGCGTTCGGCCCGATAAAGTGCATTCCGAGGACTCTTTGATCGCCGTTTCTAAGCGCGACAACTTTCACGTAACAGTGAGCGACGTTCTTCTGTGGTATGAAAAATTCTGTTGGTTTGTAATAAGCGTGATAAATCTCTATCTCTTCCTCTCCATAATGCGCGACCGCCGCTTCCTCGCTCAGCCCGACACATCCGTATTCCAGAGGACTGAACACTGTGGTTGCCACATTTGTGTAATCCATCTGCTCAGATGAATTACCGAACAGTCTTCTCGCCAACAATTTACCCGCGTGTATAGCGACGGGCGTTAGTTCGGGCTTTTTCTGTAATAAACGTTACATCACACGCCATACTACATCATGGTGCAATTTTCTCTCTCGCAATTATGTTCGCATTTCGATCTATTGTACTCGATTTTATTGAAATCAATTCGCTAGAACGCCTGGCATTGCGCGCGTAAGACTTTTTAAGGAAGTTCTCTCGCATTCTATACTCCCCACTACTTTATCTCGGTCAATGACGAACATGGTGGATTAACGACAATTCCGTGCACTTTGCGCAATGAGATACAAAGCCAGCTGAAGACGCTATGGACTGCAAACTACAAAGTCCGAAAAACGCAGATTTAAAAATCGTGTAAACTTACGTGAAGTATGTCGCCGACCGCGTAAATGTTTGGAACATTCGTCTGTTCGTTAATTGCATCGATCTTATTGTTTTCCGAGTGAAGCTTCAAACCGGCGTTTTCTGGTTTGAGTTCTTCCGTGAGCGGCCGCCGGCCGATAGCAAATAGAACGGTATCGTACACATCTTGATGAATTTCTCCGTCCTAAAAGATATCAATTATGTTATATGTTGAACGATATTTATCACTTTTACATACACACACACACACACACACACACACACACACACACACACACACACACAGTAGTAGTAGTAATAGTAGTAGTAGTAGTAGACTCGCAAATATATACTTTGTCGATCCAGTCAACGAGCAGACGGCCGTCGTCTTGCTTGGAAATCTTCTTCGGTTTTGCCTGATAAATGAAGTGCACGCCACGATGTTCCATCTCCTCGGCGACGATATTCGCCATTTGCTGATCGAATCCACGCAACACGATCGATCGGGCCATTATTGTCGCATCGTAGCCTAACCCATTGAGAAAACCAGCACACTCCAGACCGATGTCTATCTTATCGTTAAGAAAAATGCGTATAAAAAGATCCGTACAATTTTTTACGATAAATATCTGACAACAAATGACAGATTTCGTTCAAAAAAGGATACATCCAGCACCGACGACAAGAGTCTTTCCTGGAGCATGTTTTAAACTGAAAATATCGTCACTACTTATGCCATACTCCAGAGCACCTGGAATATCGGGATACCTAGGCCTACCACCCACCGCGATCAATATATTTTGAGCAGTAATGACCTTCTCCTCTTTTTTCTTGGTAATTCCAACTATTGTGTGTGCATCCTTGAAATATGCAAGAGCGTTGATGTAATCAATTTTCCTGTATCAACATGAATACTAAAGTTAGAAACATACAGAGTGCATACAAAGTCGACAAACTTAATATTTGTTACAAATGTAAATCTAAATAAATTTATTATTTATTATAAATTAAGAATAGCAAATAACTCACTTTGTTCTAAGATCAACACGAGTGACCCAATTGACAGACATGACATGATCCTGTACAGCAGATCTCATGGCTTCCCAGTCAATCTTGATAGTCTTGGGATCTGGTAATTGCCAACCAAATGTAGCTGCTTCCTAAAAATCAGACAATTTTTAAGTCATAGACACTTCAAACTATAGTTGGATTAGATTAATTTTCAACAGTTACATACATGAATAGCTTCACCGAGCAATGCAGCTTGATGCATTAACTTTTTTGGTATACATCCTACATTGACGCAGGTGCCACCCAAGCCCCAAGTAGTACCACGAGGAGAAGGACTCACATAATCCAAAACAGCTACCTTAGCTCCCAGCTCCACAGCTTCCTTGGCTGCTGCTAATCCACCAGAACCTCCACCAATGACTAAGAGATCATACATGTAGCTCTGCTCCGCTGAAAAAGAATCACAAAATCACTCATGCACGAAATCTGTCAACAAAACAGATCAATAAGAGGCTAAGTATTTCATTGATGCCATTTTATGATCAACTATTTATATGATGCCATTTTTTAAAATAAAAACATCACTGTCAAACAAAGTAGATATTTAAAAATCGCCACAATGACAAATCAGATGTTAAAATTGATGAGACATTCCCAAAACACTTCTCAAACGCCTTTAAATCACATTCGCACGGTTCGAATTATTTGGCGCGCGCGTGCACGCTATTTTTACATAACGTATTCGAGAATGTAGTTATCGCAGTAGTCCTATCTTAGACGCTTCAGTAGAACCGCAGAGTCATTCCGGACACTCACTGCACATGCAGGCCATCGCATTTCTGTTGTAACCGTAAAGAAAGCCGCCGCATCTGTTAAACAGCTCCCGGCGATACGGTAACCCGAGCAACTTAGCGTGCGCGTTGTGAAATGACACGAGCCGCGTGAACACCGTCAGTGTCGCCATGATAATCGGCAACATTCGATCGCAATTACGAGTATGTGACGTCAGCCGATGAAACGCACGGCGCGATACGTCATCACTTAAGCCACTCCGTTCTTTTCGCGCTGAAGATCAACCGATCGCGTCGAGTTTCGAGCTGCACTGGAATCGAGAGAGAACGCGCGACGCAATGAGATCGATCCTGATAACCGGTTGCAACCGCGGCCTGGGCTTGGGTTTGGTGAAGGGTCTGGCCGGGTCACCGAAGCCGCCAGACAATATTTTCGCGACTTGCCGAGACGCGAGCAAGGCAACGGTAAGAAACAGCCAATCGGCACTTCTCTGTTATCGCGTATTATGCAATATCCTGACGCGTGCTTGATCGGGAAAAGTGCACTTACAGATCGGCGCCATCGCTACTCTCTTCGCTCCTCGTGCGTAAGAATGAATTACACGATCTATCTTTCCCGCTTGAATCCTTCGCGATCTCGAGTCACGTGTTGCGTCCGCTTCGCGTACAAATGTCGCAAGGACTGACCCAATCACACTGACACTGGTGAACGCCTACTCGTCATGAGTTCCATCACCACCATCTACTATACGTTCACTACCCCTTCCCTCGTAGGCCTCGCACACTGAACACAATGGGCGACGAGTGATGAGCGGCATCCAATGAGAACTCCGCTTTAAATAGAAATAAGAGCTCCCATTGGATATCGTTCATCGCTATCGCGTTTTATCGCGTCCAGTGTGCGAAGCTCGTTACTCTCGTCCTGCGTGTCCTGCGACTGTTACGAACACAGTCGCGAATCGACGCTATAATCTGCGATGAGTTAGCGAGCGGTCGATTTCGAGATGTTTCGTTGATCGATCGCGCAAACCGGTAAGGCAGGATTGCTCGAGACCGGTTTCTCTCTGCCCTTGCAATCTTATTAAATTGCCGTCGAGGCGGTAATTGCGATAACCTTGCTGCCCAATGCGTGTCGCGCCTAAAATCGAGATGAATGAGAAAATAACGAAAATTATCTTTTTGCAGGAGTTACGCGCGCTCGCTGATGAGTCACCCAATATACACATTATCGAAATTGGTAAGTTAACAACTTCGTGTTGTTGGCATACATTATGAATTTTCTACGGCTCTCATGGTCCTTGAACTTTCTTTTATGAATCTTAAATTGTTGTGTGGGTTCTCATCAATAATATAGACACACATACAGGTTTTTATGCGGTTATCAGGATGATTTTATCTGTCGGAGTTCTCGAGATGGAAATAAGACAATGTACGCCGAGTGCTGGTTGACGTTAATACTTCAAAAATAAACGTAATACGTGATAAAAAGTAACGAAAGATTGCACGCATAACGAGAAAAAATAAAAAAGATATGGAATCGTGGAAACGTTTGAGCGTGTCGCGTTGTGCAAACACCGCAGACAGTCCTATTGTAGAAAAAGAAAAACTGCAGTTTCATTGAATACTGTTGCTGATCGATATGACACACAACATCAGTTAACATTTGTGCAGACTTTGTTGATTTAAAACCCAGTTCCACAACTTACTTTAGCCGGTATTGTTTAAAATCTATCCAAACGCATAATTGCATTATTCATATGCACAAGAAAATTTATTAATCTAATGTAAAATATGTCTAACATAAGAGGCATCCTTTTACGGACCATGATTGGTTGATTTCCTTCTGCATATAAACAATGCGATTATGCATGTTTAGGTCTAGTTTAGAAGTTTAGACTTGGATAGACCTTCAACGATGGTCGATTTTAAACTCCGATTAAAATAAGTTGTGAAGCTAAACTTAAGAAATTCCAAAGCTATAGGTCGTCCTTGCATAACATATTAAAAGATCGAGTTTTTCCTTCTTTATCGACGTACGCGCACCTTGCGCTTTTTCCTTCGGATTTTCGTATTACGCGGAAAGCTGGATTCATGGAAAGTATTTTCAGACGTCATGCCGCAAGTCACGCTGTGTGTAATCGATCAATATGATCCGCCTAACGGAATAACGATATAAGAGGAGCTTGTCTTACATTTCACGAGATAAAAGAATTCGCAGAAATACCGTGATCTCTTTAAATCCCCCAACAGTCGATACTAATTGCTTCGCTACCTTTTTCATGCTTATCACGATATCGCGCGATTATTGCAGCGTGAGATAACATTCTAGAAATCGTTATAATGCAGAATAATGATACTCTTCCCAAACAATCTTTAACCTTGCGGCAATCAATGAACGTATCAATACTAATTAAGTAAAACATGTCACGTCGAAATAATTATCCGCGAAATGTAGTCACTTGCCGAACGCTTAAGTACACAACGCAAACAAGCCGGATTTTATTATTAATGAGATGTATCGCGCGACGTAAAGCAAATCGAACTCGCTTGAGGTCGCCACTAATGTCCGACGAGATTTGAATAAATCAGCAGCGCGAGTTTCGCGAGTTTATGCGCGCGTTAAACAGCGATTGTTCCTGTGTTTTACATTCTCTTTCTTCTAGATTTGACGGATACGGACGGCTATGAAAGAATCGTGGACACAATCAGCCGGAAAGTCAATGGCGCCGGTCTCAACGTTCTTTTCAACAATGCCGGTATTTCTAGCAAATTCACGCGTCTCGGTCTTGTGAAAAAGCAGCAGATCACGGATGCTCTTCTGGTGAACACCGTGGCGCCTATTATGCTCACGAAGGTACACTCACAGTCGCTTCATCACGTCCATCAGCGGTAATTCTTAAGGGAACTCTTCGTTCTTAATAAGCGTCTGTAATGATTCAAGGCTCTCCTGCCGTTACTGAAGACGGCCGCGAAAAACGCTGAGAGTAAGACAGAGCTGAACGTTAATAGAGCGGCGGTCATCAATATGACTTCTATTCTAGGCAGTATCGCTGAAAATACAGACGGCGGTTTTTATCCTTATAGATGTAGCAAGGTAAGGATTTCGCGGTCTCTCATGAGCCGATATATTGTATTGTATCATATATTGATATATTATATCGTATCATATATTGATATATTATATCGTATCATATATTGATGATATGATCGCGTCGTATCAGTTAATAAATTGACGCAAAATCGATCATGAAATGAGCACGTTAATTCTTAAAATAATACAGCGTCTCTTAGCGCGGCTTTGTGCAAGAGATCGATAGATTATTTTGAATTCAATAAATAATGTAAAAATACCGTAATTTATACGATGTAAGTGTTGCTACAAAGAGAAGCCCAATTTTCAGTAATTATGCCAAAAAGTAGAAAGAACATATTGTGTTTACTCGTCTTATTGAAATTCAATAAGATATATGAAATATGTCGCGCGTGTATTACTATTACAATTCATAATGTATGATTTATTCAAACTATTATAAAAATTTTGCAAAACTCATATTCAGAATATCTCATCGATTCTTACGATGCTGCAAAATTGGGCTTCATCAATACGAACGACTATACGTCTTAATCGTATTTGCATTGTATCTGTAATATGAGAGCACTTATGAATTAAGTATTTTCAAAGTATCTTATCTAATCTCGTTCATTCGGACTCAGGCCGCACTTAATGCTGCAACCAAGTCAATGAGCGTCGATTTAAAAGCCGATGGAATCTTGGTAACGTGTTTACATCCAGGATGGGTACGCACGAACTTGGGCGGCAGCAACGCTCCGATGGACGTCGAAACTAGCGTCGGCTGCATTCTGAACACATTGAACTTACTGACGGAAAAGCATACCGGTTGTTTTGTACAGTACGATGGGAAGATATTGCCTTGGTAAAGCATCCAACAAAGTAATCACATATAAATAAATGTTAATTTTCTTTATGTAATAATAATGTGTATATATATATATATATATATGACAAGCGAAATATATAGCATATATATTTCGCTTGTCGTTCCTAAATATCAATGTAAATACTTTAAATTAGCTCTAAGTATACATTATAAGATTTTATAAAAAGTTCGGGTTTTTAATAAAGTATTGCAGTCGAGTTTTGATCTAGCGTCTTATACTCAACAATTTGAAAGTAAGTCTTTCTAAGAAATTAGAGAGACAAATAACGTCAACGAATCACTTGCATTTTATGCGTTTTAACGGAGATACACGACGAAAGTTAATGAGAAGAGAGGTTCTTCGCGCAGAGCCTGACAAGTAACATCGTAACTCTTCTCGCAAGCGACGTACAATACGCACATTTAGTATGTCATTCAACTATTTTATTCATACGAATCAAGCTTATTTTGTACATGTCACGGTGCTATAACGTAACGCAAAGGAATGCAAGTTCTCCTATAGTACGAATAGACGAGAGAAATGATATCTGATGTATATACAATGACTCTTTCAACGACTAATTGAAAGCGCGAACATATTTATAAGTACGTCTATCTATGCACGTGTATTTCCAGTATCTGACTCATAGCAAAAATAATCGTACGAAGCATTCAAGTATATCTCGAGACATTGTCTGCGATATATTATTCGAACGAGAGAGAAAGTTTTTTCCAAAGAAAATAATACTGCCAACGTCGCTACAATCGTTACGAATGTACAATCCGCTTTTTATACTTTAAACTTTCCTAACGTTCATCATCGAGCTCCTTTTCAGCTTTCCTGATCTCTCTGTAACAATTTCTGTGACGTAATACATAAAAAAAAAAAACTAAGATTTAATAAACGGATTGAGCATTCGAGAGATTTTATTCTATCCAATTAGCGAGTCGTTTCTAATTCCTAAATTCAATGAGGCAATTTGTAATAAATTCATATGTAAAAAAATATAAATTCCATTTCACATAATTTAAAATGTTCCATAGGATTAATGTTTTTCATATGATTATATATCTGTATGTATATGTATATATATGTATATATATGTATGTATATATACACACATATAAACATATATATTCTATATAATATATATTATATATGTTATATAATAGATATTATCTTTATAATAGATCTCACTAAATTTGGATGAAACAGGAAAGAGAAATCTCTCTTGCACATTCATCCACATGGAGAGGTATGACTCAACAAAAAATTACCAAGTGCAAATTCACAAAAAAGACAGCGATTCCTAAATGTGTCGATCCGTACAATAACGATGACGGTGTCAGATTGAACATTAGTCAGTCTTCAATCTCTTAGGTGTAGGTTCGCTATTCTGCGAATTGGAGTCCTCCGAGAATCCCAGATGGGCAGAGAAATCTGTCAGACCTTGGGAGTCGCTGACAGTGGAGAAACCTGGAGTATCAAAAGATTCTTTAATGTTAAGAGCATTAATAACATTATTAAAAATTGCCAAAATCAAACTCACATGTGTTGGAATCCTCGGTTAGACCAAAGTTAGAATTTGAAGAGTCTATTCCTCCTTTCCTTGATAAACCATTTTCTTTATCAGAAACTGTCTTTCCTTTCTTCTTCTACAAAGCAAAACTTATTCTTACTCACTTATTCACTTTACACATTCTTAATTGATTTAATTACTTGCATTATTGATTGCAATCAGTGCAAATTTTTTTGCATAAAATACCTGATCAAGCGTTGAGATTGGAACCCACTTGTAAATTTTCATAGTTGTTTCTCCTATAGTAACCCATTTTTTCTCCCTGTATTACAATACATATATGTATAAGATTACAATTGTACTAATTAATTGTATTACAACTTGTACTAATTAATTTACATTTTGCTGTATATACATGTAAAAAGCTATACAATATACTTCAACTTTATGTATACTTTGGATAAGTAAAAATAAATATCTCTAACATATTTGAAGCTTCCCAATAAAGTCTAAATCGCTAACTGAAAAATACTGTTAGAAATTTCATGATGCTTTATTAGTAGTCTTCAGAATTTCTATGAAAATTAAATGTTTCTGTTTTTATTCAAATGTTTCTACAATATTTAATATAATCTCTTACTTGTAAAAAAGAGCATTTCAACTTGAAGAATAAGTACTTACTATACATCTCTTTCCACACTTTTTAGAGATCCACTTGAGAAATACGAGCAAAAGTGCGAGTTCTGCTTTCTTTTTATAATTTGCGATTCTTTGCGAACGAAAAGAATGACAAACGCGAGACTTGGTGACTCTACTGCACCGATGAACACTCAAAACTTACTTTGGGAAACTTACCAATGACGAACTTTGTCAACCACTTGCATAACTCGTTTAATGTCATCCTTGGCACGACTACGAGTCTCTGCGCGCACTGACCGCGACATCATATTATTGTTTTCGCCCGATTAAATCACCGTTAATCGATTATTGCACCAGTCACCGCACCAGAAACACCGGGACATTCGTAGAGCGCGAGCAGCGGAGAGGTTAGAAAAGTGACAGGGGGATACGGGCAATGATGCTAGAACGAAGACGCGGCTTCATCCAAAAACGAATGGAGGGGACATACACACAACAAGAGAATTGCGTACGTGTGAGCCGAGCCATCCGGCTGTCGAGCAACTGAGGTCACACATACGCAGTTCTTTTGTGTGGTGTGTGTGTGTACCCCCTCCAATCAGCTTCGGATGTATCCGCGTCTTCATGCTGCGCATCACTGCCCAGATCCCACTCAACTGCTCATATATACACTGGCGTATGCAACACGTCATGACCCGCGTGCTTGTGTAGGTTATTCGACCGATTATGGGCGCGATCCATTAGACATTGCAAACGCTTTGAAGTGTTCAAAGAAAACCATGATTGGTTTATACGACGCATCAAAGTATTTGAAGCGTCTATTAGATCGCATTTTATTTGAACGATGTTCATTGGCTGCATTCAGCAGACTCAACAGTTGCACAACAGTTGAGTAATTTGTCAATGTAATTGGTCTAGATTTAGGGATCTAATAGCAAGAACCAATAATCGTTGATTGCTCACTGAGCGCTTTTTCTACTGAATGCGCCCATTGTTTCTCTTCATCAATAGATCGATTATTTTCGTAAAATCTCTAAATTTTGATGACTATCTCTAAATTTTGAAAACTACGTCATAATTCTTTATTTGTTGTTCAATGCAATTATATTTCATTTTTATTAAATTTATCCAACTCGCTATTCAATAGATTTGTTCGCGTTGCTTGCACTTTTGACACTTTTGTACTTATGGCCGGTATTCATGGTCGAATCTTAAGCCAGCGGTACACGATGCTTGTTTTCGTGTTGGATTGCTTGCTGGATGGAAATACTCTATTCTAATTGGTCCGTCTTCAGAAATGCATCAATCAGAACAGAGTATTTCCATCCAACAAGCAATCCAGCATGAAAACAAGTATCGTGTACCGCTGGTTTTATAGCGTTTTCGACTGGCCTTGGATTAATCGCTCTAAAAGCGATTAATGGGTAAGTGGACAAAATTTTACAATTTTCGATGTTGATAGATTAGAATGTTTTCCGTTTTTGTTCCGTTCCGTAACAGTTCTGTGCCATGTGAAACTTACCTATCAAACAACAGAACGGAATAAAAACGGAATTACTCTGATTGGCTGACCTCCACTATATCTCTTTTCCGTAACTGTTCCGTTACGCTATTTCTTTCTCCATCTGAACGCACCTTTAAGCTCGTATCAGATTACTGACTGCACAGGCTGACCCGACTGCCGACTACGACTGCCGACTCTCAATGGACCAATCACAGTGAGGCGCCGACTCATCGCCTTACTGTGATTGGTCCATTGAGAATCGGCAGTCGTAGTCTGCAGTCGGGTCGGCCTGTGCAGTCAGTAGTCTGATACGGGCTTTACGGATCATTGGACTTGCATAGAGAACCTTGATAGCTCCTGCACACAGGATGCGGTAATGTTTGCCACGCGGCGGAAGCACGACAGTCAATAAATATGTTGTTTTTCAGTAAGAGCTAGAAGGTTATTACGGAAAGCAGCATATTGATTGGCTGTTGTGCGAACTTCCGCCGCGCGGCAAGCATTACCGCGTCCTGTGTGCAGGAGTCATTAGTACAGAGAATCATCAACTTGGTCACGTAACCAGCTGATTGGCTGGCATAAATATATACGGATTTAGACATTGCGACGCCAATGCAGAATAAATGCTTATATTTATATTATATATGGTTTTGCATTGGCATCGCAATGTCCAAATCCGTACATGTTTATGCCAGCCAATCGCAGAGTAGCTGAGTAGCTGGTCACCAAGACTACGTTCAGAAATTTTACTGCAAATGCTGAAATTCTATAGAATACGTGACATAAACTATAGATTTTCAGTACTGGCAGTGAATTTCGGAACGCAGCCCAAGTTGGCGATTCTCTGTACTAGAGGTTCTCTAGACTCGTACCTTTAATTTGCTTGTTAAATAGGAATAATGGGTCCAAGCAACATTAGACCCGTTATTTCAATGAGTGACGTTCACTTCCAAAAACTCGGCTATGAGTTTCCACTTTTCACAATGGCTGCGTTCAGAAACCCTACTCGGTGAGTAGAGTAACATTTAATTAGCCAATCAGGGCAAAAGAATCTAAGATTTATTTATCATAATTGGTTTATTAAAGTAATTCTATCCATCGAGTAGGATTTCTGAAATAGCCAATGAAGAATAGAGATTGCGGTACGAGTAAACAATGGATCAGACGGTCTTTAAGGGACGTCTACATTGGAAGTAAGCAATAAGAAGTAGGAAGTAAGAATAAGAAATTGACTAATCATAGTTGATTATTCTTCTCACATTCGACTGTGGTTGGTCAATTTCTTACTCTTACTTCCTACTTCTTGCTATTTACTTCCAATGTAGACGTCCCTTTACTGGTTGCGTTCACAGAGAAAGCTGCTTTGCAACTGTGTAAAATTTGTGAATCTGATTGGTACACGCTTTTGGATTCAACCAAAATTAAGAGCATACTCCAATCAGATTCACGAATTTTACACAGTTGCAAGGCAGCTATCTCTGGTGAACGTAGTCACTTTTTGATGATGCAACTATACGCCTGAGGATTATTTATTTTCAAATAGCAGTCTCCATAGGAGGTTAGAATATCTTCACAATTTTAATTATTACGATTTAAAAGCAGATTAAACAATCCTTTTATTTTTCAAATAGTACGATTTAACAGGAGTTAAATTACAAGATACTGCTTGTAACAGAGCTGATATGCGACAGATTTAAGTAAAAATGAATGGTTGGGAATTCAATGTTTATGGTGCGTGTTGAATATCGAAAGAAGTAAAAAGTCATCGGAGAAATCTCCTCTTACTAGTTTTCGAACAAGACGAGACGATGATTATATAATCTCATTGCGTGAGCTCGTATTCCTAACCTATTCCCTAACCTATATTTATGCTACGTGCCGCTTCTATGCGATTCGCGCATGACTTTCTGCGTGTCAGACACATAGAATCGAAGCATACTCGGCGAATATAGTAAGCAGTTAGGTTTCTAACGTTGGAAAAAGCTCACGGTTCGTAAACTCTAGTCATTATGGGCGAGAAGAAGGAAGAGGAAAACCCTCGTCGCAAGTTGGAGTGGATGGTACATACACACATTTTTTCTTATGTTATCTTGTTGAATGTTTCACTAAATGACCGTACTTCTTCATCAGGTGAGACCTTGCATGATATACAAGGCAGAGTATGATGACTGTACCAGTATAAAAGCTCGTTTTGACCAATACTTTGTATTTGGCGAGCCAATCGATTGCACTCAATGGAAAACAGACTACCTAAACTGTTATCAATGGGAAAAATACAAATCGGAAGAAGCATTTGTACGTAGGTTATTGCATTTATTTCAGCAACATCACTTCTCTGATTGTGTATGAGAAAAGAAAATATTTGAAAATTTATTTGTGTGGAATATAAAGTTTGTTCACCAAAATAAACCTTATATTTTACAAATAAATTTTCAAGTATTTCTCCTCAGTATAGTTTCACTGGCCTAAATGTTATACTGAGAAAAAATATTTAGACATTTATTTATTGGATATAAACTTTGATTCGCAAAAATAAACCTTATATCCCATAAATAAATTTTCAAGTATTTTTTCTTAATGTAACATTGCTGGTCCAAATATTGTATACTGAAAAAGAAGGTATTTGAAGATTTATTTGTTGGACACAAAATTTATTTCACAGAAATAAAATTTGTTTCAGAGAAATAAACTTTATATCCTGCACATAAAAGTAAAGTGTTTCTCTTTCTCAGTGTACAAAAAATTGACGTTTGACGCAGAATGACTTGATCGAGAGCGAGAAGCAGCGTCGAATTAAACGATTACAGCCGCATTATGAGAACGATGTTTGGGAGAAAAGGGACAAACCGCCGGAGAACTGGAACGCGCCTCTACCCGAGTGGTTACAGAAGAAATATGAGAATTCGTATCTGCAAATACGAAGCGAAGAAATGAAAAAGGGCATAGAAAAATCCCCTCTCGACGTGAAATGCACTATACTGTAACGGCGCGTGCGTGCGTGCGTGCGTACGCGCGCGGCGAACTGCTAATATTTGAAAATTGCTAATATTTGAGCATAGCGTGTACACACATACGCATTTGTTATTTGAATTGACTCACGCGCAGCGCGTAAACCCGGGTACCTTTCCGCACGATTAAACATGCGCGATGAAAGCGAAAGCGCCGCGGAACGCGGCGCGACAAGATAGCGATCGATGACGCGATGCCGGAGTGTCACGCCGTGAGAATTGAGAATGATCGGTAGTGCAGTACTATCTCGTGTTAAAGCTGCCGACAGTCCCTTTCGCATTATTCTCAAGAAAAGAAATACCCACGACGACAGTGTGACGCGAACATAATTCGAACAGTCCCAAGGTGCAAGGTCGCGCTCGCAGACTCCCGACGTCGAAAAAAATCCGTTGAGTCTCCTGTCACGCTGCTAGTCGGTAAGGTTGCGTAGTCGTGCATGCGCAGTCGGTCGCGTCGACTGCGTGATCTCTTACCCCCTCTCCCATTCCACTACTCTACGACAGTAGTATCTTCTTTTTCTCGCCGCACACGCGCGGCGAGAGTCAATCCGCGCAAAAGTGGTCAGTGCAAAAGGAAAGCCAAGGAACGCCGGAGGTTCGCGAGCACATAGGAGGATGCCGTTCGGCTGTTTTGAACGTGGCGCCCTTCCCTTCTCGTTACCGGCCTTTTCCCTCCTCCTCCTTCTCCTCCTCCTACCCTTCATTAGACACCGCTCCGTTTCTCCTTCCGCGCTACGTGCGACGCGTCAACCACAGACCTAACCGTCCCTCCCTCGCTGCACTCTTCGGAAGCGCGCGTGACAGTGTTGTGTATGTGCGGGGCGCAGCGCGTGTACGTGTACACGAGATGTTGAATGAATGACGTAACCTATATACGGGAAATAACGCGTATCGGTGTCAGCACAGTGCGTTACGCCTTTGGCCGCGTCGGACGGAGCGGTCGCGCGGTGCTACTGGTGTGCTTCAGTGCGAGGAAGAGAGAGAGAGAGACAGACAGACTGTATACAACGCCGACGCGTTATCACGCGTGATCTTGGACGCGCGCCGCCGAGTGGTGCGTAGTCGAGCCGAGCGGAACGTAAACGGAGGCGTAGCGGAGCGACGCGTGACGCCGTGCCCGCGCGTTCCTCGCAGGCACGTGCGACAATGGCCACGGACTGCGTGGACGGCGACTACCTCGGCGCGTACGCGCGCTTCTTCGCGGAGTTCGTCGCGAGGGTGAATCCGGACGATCAGCTGCCGGTGAAGGTGAGCGGCTACGACATCAGCGAGGGCGAGATCGTCGGTGAGATCATCAGCGTGACTCTACAGTACCTCAATCAGACGTAAGTTTCCTGTATGCGTGCTGTGAGCGCCTGTGTGCATGTGTTTATTGTTTGGATTAGGCGCCGCGCGTGTGAGAGAGAGAGAGAGAGAGAGAGAGAGAGAGAGAGAGAGAGAGAGAGAGATGTGAGTGTGTATTTTTGACATTCCGTCGAAGCGTCGCCTCGCGCATTTATCGAACGCGGGAACAAGGTGCTTCCGTGTTGTTTGTTTCGAACACCGGTTATCACTGGATAAAACAGAGATACTCATTGAGGTCGTTGTTTACTATATCTCGCTTGATCTTGAAATATCGCGTGAGCGTCAGCGATGTTGCACAGGCACGCACACACACACACAAACGCGCGCGCTATAGTTGAATCTATTGTTTACAAGTATCTTTCAAAATATTTCGACGCTCTGCAGCCAAATCGAGATCAAAATAACGCTTGGTAATATTTGTCGAAACGTCGCTTTACTCAGACGTTTTCTTTCATGTACGTTTTATTTAAACATTCTATTTAAACGTTTCAACGTTTCCTGTAGCTTGAAACGTCGACGTTTTTTACCCTTTCTCGTTCGGTGAACGCTTCAATGCGAACAACGGTTCCCCTCTCCCTCCTCCCCCCTCCCTCCTCCCCCCTCCCTCCTCCACCCGTCCCAGAGAACTACCTTTCTGAGAAAAGACAATGAGATTGAAATCGACGTTTCCACGACACCCTGTGTATTGGCACCGCGGCAGTAGTCTATTTTTGCGAGGAGAAACGCCAAGTTGCGAAATATTTTATCTCGTCAATCTCAATAAGCGGTTCGCATTGTAGTTGCGCGCACGGCGTCTGAAAATACTCTCCACGCGTTTTCTGCTTCCTTTTCCTCACGCGCCGCGATAAAAATCATCGCATTGTCGTGGCCGAGTAGCATCGTGCGCGCGATCTAGAAGAAGTCGGCGCGCAAAAAGTTACGCATTGCTGCACGGCGCATCACGCGAGAACAAAAGGTGCGCGCGAGAAGGATGGAATTGCGTAAAGAGACTCGCGAGAGTGCACATAACGCCCTTTCGCGCGAACTCCGCGAGACGAGTTCTCTGCGAATCAAGCCGAGAGAGAGAGAGAGAGAAATGAAAACCACTTCCGCGCCGCTGCGTCGTTATCTACTCTGACCGAAACGCCCGAGTCGCTCGTTGTTTGTGACACAGTACGAACGGAAAGAACAGACGACGAGTGATAAAACGATGAGTGATAAACGAGAGATAGCGACCAAGCACACGGATCTTTTTTTATTCGTCTCGTGAAACACTCACTTTTTCCCTATTGCCTATTGCCTATTTTCCTATTCCCTATTGCCAAATTCACGGGGAAAATATTATCTTTTTTATAATTTATATATTTATAAAATTTTTTTATATACTATATTAATAGTATATTTCTATAGTTTTTTTCATATAAATTTCTTTTTCAATTCTAATCTATGTTTTGATAATCTAGAAATAGACTGTGTCACTAAGGACATTTAGTCTAAGGATTACCTCGCTAAGGAACACAGTAAAGCCTGATCTACAATGTGTTCTTTGCTTCCTGTTTCTTGTTTTCTGTTTTTTTTTTTTTTTTTATTTTAAGGTTTAAGGCTTGAGTCAGAAAGAGATAAAGAAAAAGTAACAGGAAGCAAATAACACATTATAGATCAAGCTTAAATATCGCTGGAAACATAGCAAGTGTTTCAATAGCGCATTTCAATCGATTACAAAATTCATTCAGTTACAAAATCCCCCGTAGTAATTGTTACGGATAAAATTCTCTCTGTGTAATCCCTTGTATTTTATTTCGTTGTTTAAACTTCGCTTAATATTCTTTTATCGATTACGCGGTGAATTGCAGCCGCACGCACTGATTTCTAGAGCATCGTGTATGTATAATTAGACAAACGATTATAGATATCAGATAATCGGACGACACGATTAATCACACTTAGCCGCGTGCTATTTGAGAATTATCTCACGGTACCGATAATTTTTTCCTCAAAGAGTTAGTTAGCTGCTCCAAGGAATCCGTCCTTGAGCGATTTTCTGTTAGAGGCGGGACATCCTGTGGAAATTCCTCGTACACGACGTGAAATTACACGTTGAGGAATTCCAGAGCAACAACCCGCGTGACGCGAGGTGCACAATGTTCCATTTCATATAACTTGATATTGATTTATTTCTTTCTCTCTGAACACAATACGCGCGCAAAACTGTCCGTTAAACGATCCTTTGTGTCGTCAAAGTTGCATGAATTTACAGTACGCGACACGCGTAGGTTCGCAATACGCTGTCTTGGACATAGATACCTACGGGAAAATACTTAGAGAGGCCGTTTCTGCGAAGTGGTCAGAGTAATAACAGGCATACGATCGATTGCAGATACTGTCCACCGAGCTTGCAGTCGTATATCGTGCATCTCGTGATACAAGCGATCAAGTCAACATGCAAAAAGCAGCCGGAGATCTGCGGACTGAGGCAGCAGGAGAAGAGTAAGTGATTGCACGCGCATTTTACGAGGGATACTTGCCGAGCACGCGAAATGCGAGCCGCTCGTTCGAAGAGCCGCGTAAATCTAGTTTCTAAACATCGCGAGACCGCGACGGGATCGACGATAAAGTACACAGCTGGGAATATATAATCGCATTGGGAGATGTGTGTTTGAAAGCGGACTCTTCAGAACGGACAGCTCGCATGGCGATGATCGAAATGCAGTGGACTCACACTCTAACTTAAACCAATCGATTTTATAGCGTACGCGCCTCTGAAGCTCATGCAGGCCGTCACGAACGAAGTCAACGAGATTTGCAGGCGATATTTGGATAACAGCAGGCTGGCGTTACTGCCGCCGCCTTCGTCGACCCCGCAAGTGGCGGTGGGTGCTACCAGAAATGCCCGGAGAAAAATGGAAGACCGTCACGTGGTCCTGCACGACTTGCACACTATTTTTAACATTCAGGTAAGCGCGACAACCCAATTAAAATCAATACTGAGGTAATCATTGCCGGCGACAAAGTTGCTAACAACTGGACTTGACGCTCTCAGCAGGTGTTGGGCAATTTTTTAAGACTTGTTACATACTTTTTAATTTCAATAAACTTTTTTTAAACTTTTTTTTATGGCTGAGAAATTTAAAGAAATTCACAGCAACTGAGAGCGAGAAGAGTCGCTGTTCTCATTCATTCAGTGCGATCGATGCGCCGATGCACAAACTGATACAATGTCGCAAATTGCAGGATGACACGATAGCAAATTACTACGCCGTGTTCGACGGGCACGGAGGGCAGGATGCGGCGGCGTACTGCGCGACGCATCTCCATCAGTATTTGGTCGAGAGCGTGCACTATCCCACGGATCCGGAACGCGCGCTACGCGATGCGTTCCTGACCGCGGACGCGCAGTTCATCGCAAAATCGAGCACGCTGGTGAGTATCGCACGCACACACAGCATCACAATTCGCTCCATCGCCCGTCATCGGCAGGTTTCATCGTTAATTTTCATTCGGTTCTTCACAGAGATTGAATGGCGGTACCACTGCGGTGTGCGTGCTGGTGCTAGATAAAAAGTTGTACGTTGCTTGGGTCGGCGATTCCATGGCTTCGCTGGTTAAGCGCGGTTGCGTGAAGCAGCTGGTAAATCCGCATCGTCCCGCGAGAGAAGTAAGTGGGTTCCTTCCGTGTCCACTCGATTCAACTGCCTGTGACACGAGACCAATCAAATGCGCACGGATCGTCCTGTCGCATCTAAACCGTCGCCTAATTCTCGTGGGAGATTTTGCTTCTGACCACATGGTCGTATAATATCACGTGTTCGTAAAATGGACAGTGTATCCGTATTCGTGTCGTATGTACACCTGGCGACGCAACGGCCGGGTCGACGATGATCATCTGTCTGTCGTGAATATTCTTGAGCAACAGGCCGCGCTCGGGATCCACGATCGGCAGGTAATTGCGGCTCTCGTTCAGACGTGCCTTTCCCAGCCTCCAATGATAATACGCGAGATCCCGTTTGCGCGGCAACAATCGTCTCTCCCCTCGGTAGTACGGCAGCCAGTTCTCCTTCTCGAGACGGTCGCCGAAATCGATGTAAGCGGACTCCTCGAACTGCGAGCGCTTCGTCAAATGTCGGAGGAATATGACAGTCGACAAAACATTCAGTCGGTTGGATCGTTCGCGCAGAGCTAACTCTTCCATTAGCTTACCGCTGGGCTTTACGAACTCCGACGTGAGCACGTAAGGTCTGTGTACGGGAAAAAGCAGATTCCGGACGATCCGTGAGCGACGATAAAAGCTCTCCTCGCTCAGGGTCTCGCCGGTGCAGCGGTAGCCGAGCTCGGCTAATTGACGCGCGGTTTTGCTACTTTTCAGGTAGTATATGTCCGCGGAGCTCACCAACGAGTCCAGATAATCCTCGTAATTTTGAAACTCGAGCAAGCGCCTGTCACTGTCGATCCGTGTTCCGATGACCGTCATGTTTGAGGAGAGAGAGAGAGAGATATAGAGCGGAGCAATGACGTGCTCTCGAAACTTGCAATTTAACGTTGTCGGAATCCTCTGTACAGTAGATTGCGATACGGTTTAGACACAACGAAATTAGAAGCACATCAAACTGTCAAAATTGAGAATCCTTACGAACGGACTTACGCGATAATAATATAATTGAGGGCGCTAAATGATAATAAATATTATAATATTAGTAATTATAAATTAGTAATAATTAATAATAAAATTACTGGACAAACCCGTCAGTAATGATTCTGAATTTTGGCAGTTTGCTAAGCTCCCAATTTCACCATGTTTAAAACGTTTTTCAAGCTACTGTATATTACAAACAATCGAGACGCGTGAAATGTAAAGACAAACGCGGATATCGACACTTTTGACGCTCTTGACAGTTCGCGCGCGTATCGCGGGGATATTACATTCGACGCGTGTCACAGGCGACGCCACGTGCGAGACTTATCGAAGTAAGGTATGATGTGTGTCCTATTTACCATACGACGCGCTCTCTTTCTTGTCTGCAGGACGAGCAGGAACGGATTAATAACATGGGAGGAGTCGTTGTCAACTGCGTGGGTGTTCTACGAGTAAACGGATTCCTCAGCATATCACGAGCCATAGGTAAGCTCCGTTGCATTGTGCACACTTTTATAACGAAAATATGAAAGTGACATTTTTTTTGGAATGCACGAGAGCTCCGTGAATTCAATTGCGCCGTGCGACAAAACGTTTAGAGCGATCGTTAAAGAAAATAATGCACTTATGAAGAATATGTTTTTAAACACATCGGCAAATTTATCTTCGGTATGACTTTCATACCGTTTTGAACGATTTACCAGTCGGCTTCTGCCGCGCTGAAGAAGACACGGTACGACGTTAACGCACAGATGGAGACAGTGACGTCCTCTTGGTCGTCGTCAGTACGTGGTAAGCTGCGTTAGCGTGTCAGAATCCCACAGGAAATATGAAGTTATGAGTAAGAAATTAATTTTACTTTGAAATTACGATTTTATAGATTTATTAAAGAGATATATATATATATGGACGGAAATGTATTTTCCATAAATTTGCATACTCTTTATGAATCTTCAAATTATGTTATACTATAAAACCTTATCGCTCGACCAAGAATCCGTAAGAAGAATTAATGCCTCTTCTATTTTTACAAAAAGGAAACCATCTTTCGGCTCTCAGGTGAATTGCTGCATGAAACGTTTTATGTAAATACGTTCTCTCCATCCTTTCTAAATTTCTTGGAATGGAATCTCGCTCAAAACGACTGAAAAATATCTTCATTTGAAGCGGTAGTAAAAATACTCGAAATCGCAATAATTGAAATGTTTCAAAATTAAGCTTAAGAAGATGGAAATTGCAATGGATCAGATATACTCCCGTGGAGTACAGATTTATTCTTGAATTTTGAATGAAAATATTTACTTGACGATTGCGCGTAAAAAAAAAATATTTGAACTCGAGTGACTCACTCTGTTTTTTTTCGAGTGGAGTTTCATACACACTCCAGAGAAGAAATCTAGAGAGTTCCTTTCATTGTCGTGAGTCTTCTCCTGCTTTTCGTGTTTGCAAGTTCAAGGTTAGATGCGCGCAGGCTTCGGTACGAACATGCAGCCTCGATAAGTGCGAATTTCTATGCTGCGGACACGCGAAAGTAATATGTTTACTCCCGGCGCGTTCGGGGAACGCGACGACATAAGGCGTCCACGGCATGCAATATTAGAGCCATTTAAATAATCGATGTACAATCGACAAATAGTAATCGATGAGTAATCGATCGACCCGCACGAAATCGACCGGTCGCCATTTCAGTCGAGACGCGGCTCGCGTACGAGAGGGCGCGCCATGTAGGGACGAGCGCCCGGGCGAGCCGCTGCCCAACTACGGCTCGTGAGGGCGACGGGGGAGTGAAAAAAAGGGAGCGAAAAAGAATTCTGGCCGCGTGTCGGGTATCCTGTTGGTTCCGTTCGTTCGCTGACACAATAGTACGTGCAGTTACGCTCTGAGAGCTCTACCGTGTGGCTCGCACGATCGCATGTGCAGAATAATTAAAAGGCTATTTCAACGGCGTCCATTCTTTGCCGCACTTGTAGAGCTCCGGCGGAGCAGATATTCGAATCAATCGGCGCCATTAACCGTCCCAATCGCCCCGACATCCCGACACGGATCGCAGGTGATTCCTTTTTGTCTGAGATTCTCTTGTCCCGCCTTAGGATTTCGCACATCCTGTGAGGAGAGATTCGCGTCTATCGAACGATGTCGCGAATAATTACCGTCTCGTTTCTGTAAACATATTCCCGCGATAGAGATCTCGTAAAACTAATCAAACTCAATCTAACATACGTTGTTTATTGATATGATGACTTATCATCGGAGGGAGAGAGAGGTATGTGTGTGTGTGTGTGTACCTAAATATATATTTATTATCTGCCGCGGAAGTTATTTATGACTCAGCTGGATGTTCTCGTGAGATTGCATCACATTAAGACGTAATCTGGCGATTGCATCAAAAGAGTGGATTACATAAGATCGGCTTAGTGCGTTTCGCTGTCTCTCTTTCGGAATATAATCTCATCTCTGTTATCGGTAAAGAGGACGCGGTGAATGGACGTGAGCGATATTTTGACGGCACGTGCCTCCGTCACGAAAATTTCTGCCGTGAACGATACGACGAGGCGGAGATATCGAGTCGGGGAATTTGAGAGGTGAAATTCGCGAGGTGTATTCGAAAATTCACGGATAATTCGCACGACACGATAGGACGCGACAGGAGCGACTATATTCGTTATATATTTATTATACTATTTTTTATTCGAATATTTGTTAGCGCACGGTTACGCGCCGAAGCCCTACACACGACTCTCGCGAGGAAGGCGAAGAAGAAAAAGCGCCGTTCAAGATCCATAATAACCGGAAGCGGCGGCGTTGCGGTGGCGTCATTATTTAAATGAGCAGCGCTGTTCATTAAACAGTTAATTATAGTTAATTGCGCGCCGCGTGCTGCGCGTGTTTTTCGCGTGTAAAATATCTGAATTACGGTTACCAATGGGTAAAACCGTAACAGTTACCTCGGACTCCGACTCCCAATCTAATCGCATACTTTCGGAATTGAGCATTCCTTTACGCTTTTCGCGTTCACGCTCTTCTAAGCGTCCGTCCGCCCGCCCGCCCGCCCTCGCCGCGCCGCGCGGCGTTGCGCGTCAGGATCTCTCGAAACAGTCGGCAAGATCATTTCTTTCTTTTTTTTAACACTCTTTCTCTTTTTCCAGGCGATGTCTTGCACAAACCATTCGTCAGCGGCGAGCCTGAGATCCGATGCGTCCCCTTGGACGGAACCGAGGACTTCCTCATAATCGCCTGCGACGGACTGTGGGACCACGTGGACCCGAGAACAGCCGCGCAGCGAGTCTACCGGCAGGTGCTACAAAATCCACGTAAGTTCATCGTCATTGAACGTCAATTTCGCGTAAGCTACACGAAAGAGAAGAAATATCGATAAAACAACAAATACTTATTTGGTGGGCACTAACGATATATATATTTCCTAGAATCCAGATTCTTTTATTTAAATAGAATAAACAGTTGCTTTTTCCTGAAGGTTTTCTCGAGGAGTCTCAAGAAAATTTTCTTATTTGAACAATATTTTTATATCATGTAGTAAATATCCCGATAGATAGATGTTATGTATAAACTTTGTAGAGCAAGTAAAGTATATCAAGCATGTTAAATCAATTCAGAAATTCAGCAATTCAGAAATTCAATTTCGAATCTCTTGTAACTGGTCGCATTTATACTTATTATATACAATCACGAAATAGAAACACGAAGAAAATTATGAAAATTTGCCCGAAATAACACGTCATGATAAATGTAGTATGAAAATCTGAACAAATTTACTAAAAGTAAATTTGTTATTGCGTTGATACAAGAAATTCTTGGGTAGAATTTTTAAACGAAAAGATTTACACTATTGTATGATATAAATTTAATAATTAATTCAGTAGGCGTCACAGTAGACTTGCTTCATAAGTGCGATTAAAAGAATTGTAAACTTTCCATCATCGATGCTTTCACGTCATGATAATCATGTGAAAGTCTATCTGGTTATATTATCTGCGCACCCACCAAATAATATTTACTGTTTCTTAGATATTTTTCTCTCGTATCCGAATTGCGATTCAGCCAGCCACAAGGCGGCATTAATCGAGAGATTGAAAGCACCAAAGCGCTCGGAGAATGAGCTTGATTCACAAGTCTCTCGCACATAAGATGCTGTCGAAGATCTCGTTTTCTAAAATACAACAAAGGCGGTTCGTTACGGCTGTTCGACAGCAAATAAAGTCTGAAGGGAAAAACGACTTTTTCGCGTGCTCTGAAGCTAGACTAGCGTCTGATCGTACACGACCACCAGTCGCTGGTAATACGCGGTTGAAAACTCTCGCGGAATTGCGAAATGCGCGGTTTCCTAATCGGAGAAGTTTTTATTAGCCGTCGCTTTGGGCGTACAGAAAGGAGAAAATCGATTCGAGCGAGCGTTTGCGCTCGCCGTTCGATAAATGCGCGTTGCACCGGCGTATATGAGTACTCATGCGCGTAGCGATTCGCGGGGCAACGTAATTTCCGCGCGATAAGCGCGCTTATCCGAGTTGGAATTATTTCCTATATATCTATCGCCCGAAGCTCCTCGACAATACACGACCGCGGCGACGCGAGAAAGTAGGGGAAACGATGTTTGTCGGGGAATTTGTGCTAGAAAAGACGAATCTCTTTGTAATCCAGTCGCTCTCCTCGTGGCCTTTACTTGTCATGCTCTGCTTCGTCGATTTCCGGCACGGACGCGACACAAAATTTGCTTAGTGCTTCGCGTCGTCTCCTCTCTCGCGACCGGCCGGCCTCTCGATCTTGTTGGACGATCTCTCCTTCCTTTTTGTTTCCTTCCACTGCGCCAAGTCTACGAAAAGATCGGCTCGGGATGCGGAACCGCGCGGTACGCAGAACAGAGATGACGTCTCGATAAGATAATCCTATTGTCGACGAAAGAACGATTCGGCGTCTGGCGATCCTCTTCGTGTAGGTCGAGTTAATAGTGTAGGTGCTGCTTTTTATCCAAGAGAAAGAGAGAGAGAGAGACGAGAAAGCGGGAAGAGATAGGAACAGCTGAAGCAGCAGGTGAGCGAGAAATTACCACAATTTCGTGCAGGTGCAGCTGACACAAGCCGTCTCCTATTTTTATCATTCTCTCCGAGCAGGAAATGCCGATCGGTTTCGCGAGCGTTTAAGAGCAATTAATACATGATAACCGGTTGACCCAATTGCCGACCTTTTAATTCCTCGATGGAAGTAAACGTAGAGAAGAAAAGCTCTTGCAAACATTCTGCAAAACATTCTCGATTGTCGATCTAACTCGAAGGCCGTCAAGGTTAACGTTCACTGAGAAAAAAATCTTTGAAAATTTATGCGAAATATATAAAGTTTATTTCTGCGAATAATTGTTTTGGTCTTTAAATACGAATATTTTAACTTTCAACATAAAATATATATATATACATGTATCAAGTATATATATATATTTTTTTTTGTTGTTGTTTAAATTTCGATAATATCATCTCTAGAAGAATAACATTCGGTAACGTTATCTCTGTTAAGTCAATATATATTTATGTATATGTATTTATCAGTATGTATTTTATTTCATATATTATCAAGGTTAATGTTAATTATTAGCTATAAAGTCGGTTGTTATTATTCAAACAACATTTATTTATGTTGTTTGAATTTATTTATGTTGTCTGTTTGAATATAGCGTTCGTTTTTGTTTTGTATTTCTTATACAGTGTCTTCTAACTTAGGCGTCCAAAATGAAGTATTATTATTATTATCGTCATTTAATGTTCGTATTTACAGACCAAAACAATCTTGAACAGCCGGAAATTGGTAATTTTACTTTGGTGTCTCAATATTTTCATAAATCATTCATGAAGGAAAATTCGAGCGCGGAGAAGTCGTGGTTGGAACGAAGTACGTTTCACCTCGAACACCCCACACACATCTCCGGATAATAAAAAAATCCAGAGTCACGTGAACTTGTCGTTACGCGTATTGTCGTCGACGTTCCCGGCCGACAAACCTTCAATCAGCCGACCCCTTGTTTTTGCGTTCCGCGAATTTCGCGTCGGAAAATGTTGCGATTGTCATTTTCCTCGTGTGAACAACACGGGACGTGTTTGTGCGTACGTATACAGGCAGACATTTTAACGTCGTCTCCCTCACGTTATTGGTCGCGATCCGCCCCGGCTTTTTGCTGAGTATCGAAGCCAGGCCTGCCGAATGTAACGCGCGGCTCTCTCGGCTGGTGCTCGCCTCTTCCTTCGTCCTCGGGCGAGCAAGTCGATGCCTGCAGCTCCTCCGATCATTCGCTCGCTCGTCATCCGTCTGCACGGTCGGCCCGTCTTCCTCTCAGTCTGTCTATCTGTCTGTTTCTCTCTTTCTCTCCTTTTTTTCTATCTCTCCCTCTGTCTTCTTCCCTCCCGTGTCTGGGACGTTTTTCCTCCGATTGATTTTCCGCCACGATTAAAGCTCGCGTCGGTTGGTGAATCAGTGATTCATAGTGATTCATAGTGTTGCCAAGGAGGAGGAGGACTGAGGCGCGAATATTGGGAGTCCGTCTGATCGATTTCGAAGGTACTCCTTTGGTAAGTCGAATCACGCGCGCGCACACACGTACGGACCTGTCAAAATTTCAGTAGGATCCTCACTCGTTCCATTTTTTGCGCCGACGTTGATCGATCGTCGCTGTCGGATGGATTTGACAGTGAGTTGTCGTGAATTATTAACTGTCCACTTGCGTAAACATGCGCGTCTTACGATATCGTATTTTTTGACATTTGCTTTTTGCTCACACGAGATTAACCACGACGCGTGTATCGCCTTTTTAACAGTCGCGTCGTCATTTTTCGAGACGGTTACTCGGACTTTGTCTGTCTAATGACGAATCGTCCTGATCATGTCTGCAAAATACACGAAGAGATTTTTATAGTAAAAATTGGCACAATCTCATAGTGAAATAATTGCTGTTAAATTCTTAAAACATGACACAAATAACACGTGCGAGATGAAGGGATGAAATTACTGCAAATCAAATATCGATCTGTTTCTCGGTTACAAAAAGAATTTTGTATGATTTAAAAACTGAAATGTATTGTTAAGAACTTTGCTATGTTGTCAGCGAAATTTACTGTTAAATGACGCGAGCACCCATCCGAGTCAAACGCAAGATGTTAGTTGCGAAATTTTACAGGTGTTTGACCAATAACTGACAACCAATATCTGGCGTTTGGTTCGGACAAATCGGACACTCGCATTGTTCAATTGAATTTCTATGAGTCATCTGATATAATTGACTTGAAACTTACTATGTCTTTTTAAGCAAAATTTACTACGTTTTTTAGCAAGATAGACCTTACTGACAGTGTATTTTCTTGCATCACTAGAAACATAATCGAGGCGATTTTATATGAAAGAAATTCTGTCTCCCCGTGTAATAACTGCGATTTCTCAACGATCTCACGATTATTGTACGAACTCGTCATTTCGGCTCTCTCTCCCACTCTTTTCCTTAATAATTCTATAATAACTATTAATTTTATCATTCAGAGAGATCGTTACGTTACGTCCCGCCAACGGTTTCAATTACCTTCTCGCCTGGCCTTATTTAATTAGAAAAATTCTCGGCTTCGTAATTAACGTCGAGAACGCATCGCCGCATGATCAACGTTGCCTCGAAAGATTAGTACTTGCCGATCACGGACATCGACATCATGCGATTGCGCTCGCGTATGCATGACGCGCATAGAAATCGCGGCTACAAATGCACCCACAAGGCGGTACCGCGACGACGTCGACGTCCCGCGAGGTCCGGCAGAAGAGGGACTCTTCTGACAAGTAAATGTACCCAAACGTTACACTCCAATTTCTTTCTAATTTGGCACAAATGTAGAAGTAAAAATAATATTTAGGTCATATTTTTTCACTTTGAGTTCCGCGAGCAGTTCATAGCTCTTTAATTTTCTCACTCCTATCATCAACAAGTGCAACAAAAATGCATAAGAAATGAAATTGTATACAAGATATAGTTAAATAATTTTAACAAAGTCGGCATAACTGAGACACACCATTCTAAATTTCTTTGAGCCAAGATTCCAACCTTAATATTTTTAATCTGTGCTAAATTAATAAAAAAATGGTTCAAATCTCGGCCAAACCAAGAGAATCCGGCAATTTTAATTAAAATTTTAGCAAAATCAGCATAGCTGAGACACGAACCGTAATTTGTGCCAAATTAGAAAGAAATCGGAGTGTACCTTTTGGGTAAGTTTATTTGTGAATGATCGAGCAACAGAGCGCGGAAAAAACGTCTGGTTGGATTAATCATGGC